AAGATATGTTTGATTTTAATTCCAACGTGTTTTAAGCTTGCATGTCATTCGGGCCATATCCCGAAAAGCATATCGACAAGTTGATTTCACTCAGTCATCACAGCTGTCTGTAATGAGCTTTGTGTAAAGTACATGAAAATTCATTACAGCTAGGTTACATATATGGTTAAAAAAGTTATTCACACTGAGATTCCTAAAAGGATAAGATCGTGTGTTCTGGAAGAGTAAGCGTCTTCTGCTTCATCAAAGTAGGTAATGTCACGTTCTCAAATGAGACCAACATATATAACAATAGACCCAAGAGCCAACTTAAAGAACATCAAACACGTCCAGCTATATGTCGTCAATCTGCGTCTTTTGAAAACATGTGTTACGAGTTTGTTACTTGACGACATCTTCCGTTGATGTCGTAATTTTGGAAACAGGCTCTTGAATATCGAATAAACAGTGACATGTAAACATCATAGATTAGGGACGCATGATAATATCCAAAAATGGCATATTTGCGATTGGAAAATTTAAATTATCAGGTTTATCTCAAGGCATGGTGGAAAGCTTTCCATGTTGGTTTCGATGTAGGAAAAGATCAATATAAGCGGCTGATGTAAAAGAGTCTGTCGTGTCCTTGATTTCAGATACTGCTTAGTATACAAGATAGGCGTGGTCAATAAATTTCTTGTTATTTATAGATAAGACGCTATTAATATGAAATTAAATGTAAAAGTAAAATTGAAGGACTTTGCAAGGTCTTTGCAGCCTCGAAAAAAATCAATACACAAGTCAGACAACAGAGGGACACAATTATTTTTGTAGTTCCCAATGTCTGTTGCAGGATGTTGCTGCCGAACTGGACAAAGATGTTGGCATGTAGAAACATTATCATTTCTATTATGTCGTCCTTCTTATGCAATTTTTTGTCATTGTAACTGTTACATACTTTTGTGCATTTCAAGCTCACGTTTATGATTTCGACACAGAACTACGAGGTCGTTAGTTTCTTGTTGTTTAGGACCGCAGAATAGTCCAAATTATCAGCTCTACCTTCTTTAGAAATTGTATCATTATAGATAAAGACTGAACGCTTACGTGTGTATATCATGGAGTTTTGACACATTTTATTGTGATTTCTTACATGAATACAAACATGCCATCATGCAACAATTTCAGTAACAGAAAGCCTGACTAAGTCTTGCTCCTGGGATGACAATGACAAGACAAGACAAGAGGAAACACAGGCGTATATATATGTTACATCTATGTTTAAATTTGTCTTAACTGTTGGCGTAGGTATATCTGTACTGACTGTAATCTTATCGACGAATTTGCATCGTCAAAATAGTCTATAGAATACAAAAAGAATTATTGAATAAAGCTTATTACACCTTCGATATTTTTCATTTAGAATACAAAGACAAAAAATCGAACTTACTTGAGAAGAAGGCCAGTGTTCATGAGTGCTTTCAATAACATCACACGAAGGCGACATTCTTAATACTCATTAATATCTGCATATTTCTCACAAGACTAAGAGTTACAAAGAGATAAGGTAACACAAAAAATTGTAAATCACAATATTGAGAGGATTACATTACGTAAGATGCTGAAAAGCTATCTAAATATACAAACATACCTTTCATGGTAACAACTAAACGCAGCAACACAGTGGTGTCAAAAGAAACAATTTCAAATGATTTTTTTTCATATTTTAAAACCGCCGAAATTTCCCTGTAGTATACAGAGTGCATTTTTTGTCGTTCTGCATCGCGTCCAATTATTCAAGTTGTATACATGTTTCATGTACTGTACAATGTGTTTGTCATAAATTCCATTGGTTGAGTAATACCAATTGAAAACGTTTGTTTCATATCTTTGTCAATAATTGTTAATCCCGCTAAAAATGGACCATTCTAAATGCTAATTTTAATGTGCATTTAAGTACTGATCAGTATTGGATTTTATATGTAATTTCAATAATGTTTTGTACTTGCGTTTCTTGTGTTCCCCGTATACGTATCAACATATACATTTAATCGCAAATAGAAAACCTCCACAAATAGGAATGAAAGGAATATATTACGAGTAGTAATAATAATTTCACGTCAACTGATCCATACATATGCTTAAAAATGAAATTATTATAATTAATGTCTTTAGCTGTCGGTGTTTTAATGAAAATTAGTATGCATTAACATTGTTACGAAAGATTCAAAACATCACAAAAATGACACTCCGTCAGATAGAGTCAGGTACGTCACATGAATTTGCATTTTTTCAGAACTGACAAGCACAATGAGTATTGCTAGTAACATGCATATCCCTTACCGGCCACCGCAAATTCTTGACAATCACACTGTAATTATTTATGTCAAGTTTTTCGCGTGGAAAGCTGGATCTTTGTACACTTGCGGTGAGAATTTGTGTTATTTTGCTATTGAGTTTATTTTACATGAATTGTAACCAAACTCAACACAGTACGTGAATTGAAATGTAAATGCTTAAAACATGTCACAAAAATACAAAAGATAACGTTAATGTAAAACTAATTTCTGTTTACATCCTGAAGTAAACACCCTTTCTTTTTCATCAGTTGTCGGGCCGTTCCGTCAGTGCGCACACCGTCCAAAGATAACGATTACTTATCTTAATGTTTTTTAAAATGCAAATGTGCGATTTGGAGCTGAACTTGTTTAATGTTCATTAGCTTGCCTTTACGTTGTGTTGCTACGTTTTTATATACCTTGTTCTCGTATAAGAGCGTGACATCACTAGGTTGCAATGACCATGATTTACAATGTGCATGGCGGGTGCCGTCGATGAAGACGCGTACTCTTCCGGAACATCTGGTTTTATTCTCCTTGTACTGTTTCAGGAGCCTCCGTGTAAATATTCCTTTGGCTTTTATTTTGATTTATTGACTAGATGTTCGCACGATGGAATATTACCTTTTAATACCTAAATTGATTGAAATGGGAAATACATTTCGACCAATTAGAACGATTGTACAAAAGACACACAAGTGAATAGCACATTTCCGTAACTAAGAGTGAGATACAGTTGAGCCAAACAATCAATTAAACTGCATCATAGAGCTGGTTCGCCCTTCTAAGACTCTTCAGTGATAATAAGGTCCTAAAACTTGAAGCCTAGGAGGCGACTTTGGAAAATCCGAAGTGTTTCAAAAGAAAAGTCTAAATCTAGACAGGGAGTTGCAGCAGAAGTAGAAAATGAAACGACTGGAATAAGACAAAATCTGTTACGTGCACATCCTAGTTATCTCATCAAATTTCATGTAGAGACAAGGGATTCCAAATATCTTAGCGACTACAATTATTTGATCTGTATTTACTCTTTGAAAGTTGGATCTTTCTTTTCCTTTCTCTTCTCTGGTTTTTGCTTTTGACGATAAGACATTTGAACATTTCTTTGCGGAAACACAACGGGTACAATGAGAGACCAAAGGGAACATACGTATAAAATTTTGAGAGAGGTCAATTCTGTACTTTTTAAGAAATACGGATAACAATCTTCACTTGGCGAAATCCAACATGGCTGCCTGTCGGACATTTTGTTTTTCTGATCATTCCCAAACTCAAATAAGCACAACTAGGAACCAAGAGGAACATATACATGAAATTTAAGAAAGATCTATGCAGTAGTTCTTAAATAGCAGTCATAAACTTTCGAAGTAAAAATCCAATATGACCGCCTATAGGCATTTTTTATTTTTTTCTGATAAAAACCCAAATCAAAAGGCTAAACTAGAGATCAAGGGAAACAAACACATTAAATTTGAGAAAGATCTAAACTGGAGTTCTCAAGAAATAGCGATAACAAACTTTGGAATTAAAACTCCAAGATGGCCGTCTATCTGGCATTTTGTTTCTTCTGATCAGACCCAAATCAAACAGGCACAACTAGGAACCAAGACGAATCTACATATAAAATTGAAAGAAAGATCCACCACAAACTTCTCAAGAAATAGCGCTAACAAACTTTCAAAGTCAAATTCCAATATGGCCGCCTGTCGACCATTTTGTTTTTCTGATCAGTCCCAAAATTTAATGGGCACAACTATGGACATTAAGAAACCATCCGGGGGAACCTACATATGAAATCCAAGATGACCGCCTGTCAGTCATGTCTTTCTGATCAGTCCCAAAGTCAAACAGGCACAATTTGGAACTAAGGGTAACCTACATTTGAAATTTAAGAAAGATCAATACAGCGCTTTTCAAGAAAAAGTGATAACAAAATTGAGCCTGTCGGCCATTTTGTTTTTCTGATCAGTCCCAAGATTAAAGATAGATGCGCACAAGTAGAGACCAAAGGAAACCTTAATGTGAAACTTGACAGAGATCCATCAAGTGCTTTTCGAGCCATGTTGAAATCAACACCAGCCAATCTCCGAGTGTTCAGGAAACTAAATTTAGCTTAGACATATCTAAATATCACAATGACCACAAATATATCCAAAGCATTGGGGTTCTTTGAGACAGGTAGGTTAGGCCCGCCCTTAAAACATTAACGTTAATGAACGATGAAATATAAAATGGGTTTTACAACAATGGGCATGTCAACTTGTCGTACTGACTTGTAAAAAATGTTGCCTTATCTGCTTTAAAGAAATGGAAGTCCTATTGACGAAACAAAAGGTAAAGAAAACATAACTAGATTTCTATTGCAGACAGTCCAACTTACATGTCTGCTATGCTTTTCTACTTCTCTTTTATAGTTTACAAGTGTACATAAAAACTGATTTCTTTATATTCACTAACAAAGATGTTTTTTTCATCCAGATAAGTGAATGGCACTGAAATGGAAAATCTGTTGTATTTCCATGCACACAAAAATCTATATACCATTAATTCTTCATTGAGAAAATTACTTCGTTTTATCATCATCTCAATCACAAATACCTTTTTTGTTAAACCAAATCATTATGAATCCGTTGACTTTTGCTTTACAGCAAATATGTATATAAAAAAGACAAAACCAGCAAATACTGTGATAAACAATATTTAATTTGACGACCCCCTTCGTGAATGTATGAAACATGTGTGCTCGCCCAAATATCAGAGAAGCAACTGCATTGTATCTTTAGCTATGACGGGATACAAATCTAATCATCATTAGATAATTATATGTTATAAAAGAAACATACGTGTATCGATATATAAACTTAAGTGATTTCTTCATATATCCTAAACAAGACTTGATGTAAACGATCGTACACCTAAGTTTAAATGCAGATTTATTGGGATGATCTAAAGACAACTTTAATTCAATAATCTAATAAGTATACTTTTATTGAGAATAGTGAACTCACATACCTAATCCCCATTAATGTCGAAAACTTATTCTACGTGAATGCGATTCTGTTATATCATCAGTGAGTTAAAATACTGTTAAATGCTAATTTCACACCGTGATTTCTATAACCACCTATACGAAAAAAAAACATTGACATACCTTATTTATTAAGATGCGTCATCAACAATTCCATTGGTTCAATCAAACAAATCAAAAGTACGGATTACAAGGTACAAAAGGACACAGTTGCTCTACAAATATCGTGGTGAAAGTTTTTCTCAAATATGTTATAAATGTCGCGAAAAGTGAATTTTAAGGTATTCTTAAACGAATATTGTTGAATTTAAACAAATGCATTACATACATACCTTTACCAATTATATTGAACAATACCAGGAATAGTTTGTATATACTTGTACTACAAAACTCATCATAATACACATTACTGTCAAATTATATTAAGTTATAACCGTACAAGTTGTATATAATTCATTGCCGACGAAATGGCAAGAAGCACATGGTACAACATGTATTTAACTGAATAAAAGAAAATACATAAGGTTGACACTTGATTTTAAGAGGAGCGAACACTTTTTTTTATACACAAGGATAATTCCCATACAATTATAATATATATGTAGTTAGTTGCCATCAAGAAATAACTGACACACAGGTGCAATTTGAAAGTTTTCAATATGAATATAATTTATATTCGATTTCTTTCTCAGAGCAGGATATCTTCAAAACTTTTCATGAAGTGTATGTTTTTTAATAAAACCGTACACGAATGTCTAAACGTTTTTCCTTTGCAATGCAAGAAGCAGAAAGAACGTACCTGTTGTGGATTTTTTATGTAACGAAATTTCATGTTGACTTCCTCATAGTAATTTCTTTGACTAAAGAGGAAAAAACAACAGAAATTCAGCTAAACATCATAATCAGTGGTCCCAAATGTGTTGTAACTCAGCTACCTTATACCAATAGTAACACTCCACCTGTATGTTTATGTAATTCAAACGTAACATGATCTGTATTACCAACATAAGATCTTGTGACCATTAAATAAAAACACTGATTTCGAACACAACTAAATCCCATCTGTAAATAACATAGAAAACTGCTATTTGACAACAATAGTTTAACAATTATATTATAGACAATACACAAACATTTTTGTAACAATATATGGCACATTATGGTTTGATTTCAGTTGTTGTTAGGAATCAGTTTGGTCTCTGGTGTGTTTATTACAACCCACAATAACTACGGGCTTAAATGGCTTTCTCTGCTGGATTTAAATTCTTACACATCAGTCAAACACTTTACTGAAATCTAATATCGTACGTTACAAAAATACAACGAACATTATACTTACATGTGAGTATGAAATGCATGCAGTTTCAATGAAATATATAGTCATTTCAATAATTTAATTTAAAAACTGTATCCAAACGAATATATTCCCATAAGAATATCCAGTCACTTAAGTTTCTTACTAGGGGATGCCTTATTAATTTTCTTTCTCTGTAGAAACTCAATTTACTTCAATCAAAATGTCACTCCTATTAATCCCCAGCTGATAAGTATGACAACTTTCCAAAAAGATTAAATTGTGTAGAATAAATAAAATCGGTCGTCTTAATTGTACATGGATAACTAAATTTTCTCCTGTTTTGGGGCAAAATTGGGGTATCTAAACACAGAAGGGATAGGTAAGTTGCCAAATACTAGACGATTAGACAAATTAAACTCTTAATCACATACTATATATGAAAATCACAAGCTAGTGGGAGCCCTCTTTCCTCTAAATCATTTGATATTGTGTCTGCCAAATCACTTGCTAGTGGGCATGTTCTGTTTGCAAACTCACTAGAGTGGACATATTCTGTCTGCAAACTCACAAGAGAGTGGGAATATTCTGTCATCAAACTCACTAGAGAGTGGGAATATTCTGTCAGCAAACTCACTAGAGAGTGGAAATATTCTGTCTGCCAACTCACTAGAGAGTGGGAATATTCTGTCAGCAAACTCACCAGAGAGTGGAAATATTCTGTCTGCCAACTCACTAGAGAGTGGAAATATTCTGTCTGCCAACTCACTAGAGAGTAGGAATATTCTGTCTGCAAACTCACTAGAGAGTGGCAATATTCTGTCTGCCAACTAACTAGAGAGTGGGAATATTCTGTTTGCCAAATCACTTGATGGTGGGAATATTCTGTCTGCCAACTCACTAGAGAGTGGGAATATGGTTGGCATATTCTGTCTACCAGCTCACGAGAAAGTAAGAATATTCTGTCTGCAAACTCACTAGAGAGTGGAAACATTCTGTCTGCATACTCACTAGAGAGTGGAAATATTCTGTCCTTCAAATCACCTGATGGTAGGCATATTCTGTCTGCTAACGCACTGTCCGACAAATCATTTGGAACAATGTGCTCTCTACAAGTTATGTGGAACAATATGCTTCCTACCAGCCACCTTGAACAATATGCCCCCTACCAGCAATGTGTAACAATATGCCCTCTACAAGATACGTTGAGCAATATGCCCCCTACCTGCCATGTTCAGCAATATGCCTCCTACCAGTTATGTTCAGCAATATGCCTCCTACCAGCTATGTTCAGCAAAATACCTCCTACCAGCTATGTTCAGCAAAATACCTCCTACCAGCTATGTTTAGCAATATGCCTCCTACCAGCTATGTTCAGCAATATGCCTCCTACCAGCTATGTTCAGCAATATGTCTCCTATCAGTTTTGTTCAGCTATATGAACTGATAAAACTCAAACAAGTTATTGTATTACATTGTGTATGCACTGTAACGGGCGTCACAGATTTTTATTTTTGAAACAGAAAGGAGACATTATTCTTAACTGTTGATCAATAACAGATATTTTCACGAATCAATTAAAAAAGTGTCTTTATGATACAATATCCTGTTTATCTTAGGTATCCGATTGTTTAAAATAAGCCGGAAACATTGTCCAATTACATTATTCAGAATAAATTTCATCTTCATAATGCAGTGAAATCACCAAAAACTGCAAATCATAAAATCAGCTTATCTATAACATTTCATACCACCCACATCCAATGAGAGATCAAAACACTTTTTCTTGACATTATAAAAAGCATTCAAGAAAACAATTTTCAGAACAAATGATTTCAGACCGCGATAAAAAAAATTACATGATTATTTTGATCACAAAGTAAAATCATTACTGTGAACAATAAATGCACCTTTTGATGTGGTAGAGAACCACATAAATATTGCACAACTACATAGTAATTATTTACTACCGAAGCAGTCTATCAATATCTTATCATGTATAGATATTAAGGCAAGATACAGAAATCCTTCACCACACAAGAACACTTAAATATCAACATGTGCACACTAATTCAATCTTTTCTCTCACCTCTAAAACATGGCACAAACAAATATTTAGAAATCACAGTCTCTACAAGCAAAGACTATACAGCAATAATAATTGTTGCTGTTTTAATAAGTTATTCTATATTTGCTAGCCTTTTTGACAGTATATGTTCCGATAATCCAAATGACTATCTAAAAACACAATATATGTTAATATATATTCTATTTTTGAGTATCAACCATCCAGATATCAAATATGGTAAGCTTAAACTTTCTGTCTTTCAGACCTCAAAAATAAGAACACCTTTATTTCATATACGTTGTAAATATATATGTGTGTGTGTGTGTGTGTGTGTATGTGTGTGTGTGTGTGTGTGTGTGTGTGTGTGTGTGTGTGTGTGTGTGTGTGTGTGTGTGTGTGTGTGTGTGTGTGTGTGTGAGGGTGTGTGAGTGTGTGTGTGAGGGTGTGTTTTATATGTATTTCTCAATCAACAACATTAATATTTTTGTCACATAGGATAAAATATATCATATCTGACTTCAAAGCAATATATCCAAATATACTACATACAAACATATGTTAGACATAAACAAAATAATTATCCAGCATTCTGCGTTGTCTATATGAACACAGGCTTAAAAACTGCAATGAATAAGACAGATGGATTTCAAGAAATATTTGATATTTCACTTTAACTGGTTTTTATCTCAATGGGAATAAGCATATTAAGGTGAAATAGACAAATGTATAGATTTAACGTCTTTTGTAGCTAAGTAGCATCAAAAAATAAATCAGAGTCTAGGATTCTTATAAATGATTATTTACCTTGTTTCCACAACTTAGATCTAAATCTTTGTAATAATTTTGAAATACATCAATCAAGTACCTTACATGTGTATTGTTTATGGGACACCTAAAAAAAGAAGTGGAAAATGTGTGTACTCCTTTTTCCATGTATATTTCTATGGATATCCACTTAAGACACATTGCTATACATAGTAGTGCAAACTCAGGTATTCTCATATTAGTGCCTGATCAAAATCCTTGACTATATAATGATGCAAGAGTGATGTGATCAAATAATTGATGATTTGCTACAAATAGTCACAGTGACCTTAACTTTTGAACTATATACCGTAATTTAACTTATCAAATATAATGACATTGTTTATCAAAGTTTTATCTAAAATTCAAAATAAATCAAGTCAGCAAGTCATTATAAACGGATGCCAACAAAACTGTGAATGGGTTTTTTTAAGTTATATCTTACGTCGATAATCCTATAAAATTTGTTTTCATAACTTGATCCATCTAAAGTGCCTTGATACTTCATGTGGTCAGATTTATTACTCCTAATAACAATCTACGGTGTCTGGAAATACATGATACTTATTTTCACATGTCATTACATGTATGTACAGAAAACTTTAGATTTTCGCAATAATTTGAGTTTTTTTGGAACCATCCTTGCAACAAACAGTTACACCTATATTTATGCACCTGATCCATATATCATTTCCACATTGTGAGTATAATATATAAGAGACATGACTATACTACATTATATGTAGACAACTACCAATAAATCCGTACTTTGTCTTCAATTACACCACGACAGATTGGGCATTCATGTAGAAGAGATGCACATGAGAAGCAACAGACCAAATGGCCACAAGGCAGGAACACAGCACATACATCTTCTTCCATACAAATCTTACACCGGGATCGCAGTTTCAGGGACAAGTTCTCCTTTGTCAAGGAATGCAATTCTGTAATAAAGAAAGTCATATCAGCAAAAGACAGTGAAAATTCCAGTGCGGTTCCAGATTAAATTTAGAAGAACAACCATTTATGCATTCTAAACTGTAAGACGACAACCGAAGCACTTAGAGAATAATGCATAAAGCAGTTTATTAGATGTGAGAATTAAAATTTTTCAATTTGAAAATAATGTCGTTTTTATAACAAGCATACCGAATAATAATTATAGCGATACATGTCTACTACGCGATTAAACTGTAATGATTTATAAAGTTGTACTGTTTGGTGTAGATTAAGATAGAAAATTATGTATACAATCAGGAAAAACTGACAATACAGTTTTCTTACTGAAGCACAGCTCTGACAATCGTTTCCTGAAAATATTATATGACCTTGGCCCAATAATCCAGAAATATGACCTTGTAAATGGCGTTCAAGTGTTTTAAAAGTGTGTGAAAACTGATTAAAATCCGAAAAGGAGAGAAGTTTCTAAAGTGCTGACAATAATTTATTTAAAATAGTTTCAGAGACACTGACCTTGACCCAACAACTCTGAAACTTATGGTCATTATAATTTGTTTTGACTAAAATTCCCACAAGGAATAAGTAGCTAGAGAACTGACAAAACTTTTTAAAAAATTGTAACAGTAACCTTCACCAAACAATGCTGAAACTCCAACTTGTTCAAAGTATTTTGAAGCTTAATAAGTGTGTGAAGATTGATGAAAATCCTTTCAGAAATGAAGCTGCTAGTCACAATGACTTTTACCTTGATCCAACAACCCTGCAACTCAATATTGTCAGATATTTTGATGCTGAATAAATGTGCGAAGCTTCATGAGAATCTCTACAGGAATGAAGCTGCTAGAGTGCTGACAAGTGGCCTTGAACTTGACCCAACAACCCTGAATGTTTTCAAGATATTCTCTGAGGCTGAAGTGTGTGAATATTGAAGAGAATCCCTAAAGGAATAAAGCCACTAGAGTGAAAACAAATAGGAATATAGTAAGTGATCATGATCCTTACTCAAATATCTTGAAACTCAATCTTGTCCAAGATAATAAGTGTGTAGTGTGAATTACTAATGTGTGATGTTGATAAGAGCTCCTCAAGGAATGAAGCTGATAGTGTGTTAAAAACGATTTTCTAAAATTAGTAACAGCTACCTTGACCTAACAATCCTGAAACTCGAACCTGACCTAGATAGTTAGATTCTAGATAGTTCGATGCTTAATGAATGTCTGAAGCATTTCTTAAAGAATGAAGCCAAGAATGCTAATAAAGTACAAATATAAATAGGTTCTTCCAGTTTCACTGGCAGGTGACAAATTTTATCTCATACATTAGTATCAACAGTCTTAATGTGTATATATTTGAGGGTTCATAAAATAATTAAAGTCATACCAATGGAAAAGGCATTTTGATTTAAACCTTCACCTGACACTAAGCTAACAGGACAGGTATAACTGCTGTCATCTCAATGATCACCCCAGCCAAAAAAAGCAATACAAAAACAAAGAAGCAATCATTCCAAGATGCAAACAAACAATCGTGATGAAACTAACATAAATAAACAAACTGATGAAATTCAAATATCTTACTTAATTCCTCCATTGAATTGTCTTTGGGGATAACAGCCTGAGCAGAAGACCCTTGTACAGTAGCATTGGACACCAGGGATGGGGAAGCAACTCCTACATGTTCTGGTGGACTAATATCTGGTCCAGGTGGTTCTTGTGTAACAATGACTGGAATACTTTCAAGGTCCATTATTGTCTCTAGCAACTTCTGCAGGTCAAAATGTGATCCTAAAATAGTGAAAGTGATAGTTAAAAAGAACTTTGAGTTTGATTTGATGTAGATGACCAGGTATCACTTGCTATAGATTATTACCTGTAAATGTTATACTGTTTGATACACATACAATTAGCTTGCAAACACTTAGACAGCACAAAACAAGTGAAAACAAATTGTCATTAAATAAATACATTCCCAATACAAAGCCTTGTGCAGCCAATGGTAATATATATATCAATTGCTTACTTGAACATTGAACATGTGGACAGGGAGGTCTCCTCATTACGGATAACCAGATTTTCCGAGTCATTTGGTTCATTAGTTGCATGAAATTTAACATCAAATGACATCACAACTGAAATGATGTAATACACAATTGTCTATCTAATGTGTAACCACGAAGAGGGGTAATCTAACAGAGTAGAAAATTTTGGAAATGAAACTTGAGAAAGTTTTAGGCAAATTTTGAAAAAAGAACTTAAAGAGAAAAAGAAACTATTACCCTTACTTGTTCAAGATCCATTTAACTCAGTCTTAAGTTGACATCCTGTAATATCTTATTCTCGGCTTCACCTTAAATGGGAATCACTTACAGAATGTCTACCCTCGTACGAGGTAATCATCTTGAATATATACTTGTGACAGATTCTGTAAGTCTTCATGGAGTTATTTAATATACATAGCTTTATCTTAAACAAATCCTATAGCTTGTAATGTACAAACCTAATTTGTCAACAGCTTTCTGTATTTTGTCAGGTTCATAGCCCATCCGTCTTGCACGTTCAAGTGGATCATCCTCTACTGGCTGTGTTATAGTTGGTGTTTCTGTTGACTGGGACTGTAATTACAATACAAGGTCAATAAGATATTCTTATGATAAAATTCATGTATTTTTTGAAAGTTGAAAAGTAGGAGAATTTGACTACATCATAAACACGGGCTGTCAGAGATGGGTTATGCTCCCCAATAAGGACAAAATTTAAGTATGAAAAATAACAAAGGGCAATAATTCCTAAAAAATTTACGGTTCTTGAGCACTGCACTTATCCTTGTTGAAATCTATCTTACTATGAAGTTTCGTGTTGACACCTTTTACAGTTTAAGTGTAATGCTCCCGACAAAATTTAAGTATGAAAAATAACAAAGGGCAAAAACTCCTAAATACATGGTGATACCGTAAATAGTTTTAGTGTGATGCTCCAGACAAAATTTAAGTATGAATAATAACAAAGGGCAAAAACTCCTAAATTATGAAAAAGAGAGTGATGATTCTTGTGCCTTACACTTCTCCTTGCTTTGATCTCTATACCTGTGAAGTTTTATGACGATAATTCTTATAGTTTTTGTGGTATGCTTCAGACAAAATTATGACAGACCGATGGATAAAGCAGCGACTATACGCTCTCCCTTTGGGGAGCACACAAAGGCACAATACAAATATCAAAATGAGAGAGGTACTCTTATGAAAATAATTCTCTTATTTCATGATCTACTGAATGAAAGTAGATGTAACAGAAAGAAGCTAAACTGTATACAGTATTGCTAAATAAACAATGAGTTCAAACACAAAATTTGCTGAAGAGGCCGGATTTGAATGAATATTGATTATTTACTGAGATGATTTCCTGAATGAAGTTTTCTCCTTTTATAATTAGCATCCAGCTACAGGTGCTTGACCAGCGAATGTGCTCCAATACTGGGTCATCGTAGGGCTCCCAGTCCTTCAGCACTGTTCCACACCAATAACACTGCACCTTGTCACCTATACCTGTGATCCATAGACAAGCAATAAAAAGTGATGAAATTAAAATAGCACTTCAACAATGCTATGATACAAGCATCAACTATCAAGAATATGTTGTTTTTTCTTACTTTAATACATGTTATTGTGCTGAAAATGTTAGAAATCAAGACACATAATACATTTTAACTTTGAATCTATTATGCATATGAATAAGTTATCAATTTATTTCAAACCTTAGATTAAATAAAAAATCATTTTCACTTCCAAGAAATGTCAGTATTGCATTGTTAACTAGAGCAATAATTACAAGATGAAAATCTTAAAACAAAACATTAGGAAATTTATATCTATTCATTTCTCGAACCACTTACAGTAATTACACTTATACCACCTCAGTGGTAACTTGCTCCCTTACCAAGATAAAAAAATCCAGCTTTAGACATTTGACGAGGTTGTTGTCTTAGTTGGGAAGGCCAGTCAGTAAACGATGCCACTCTTACCTCAAAGTCACAATACTGAGGATATTTGAACACTGATTTTACGAATGGACATTGTGGGAATAGTCTACAATGCTCAAGGTAGACATCATCCCCCTGCTGCCAGTTCCTGATGATACCTCGACAGTATGTACACTGGACACTATCATCTCCTCGGCCCATGCAGTAGAAACCTTCCCGAATCAGCTCTTCAATAGAGATGTATGATTTATTGGAAGGCCAATGTCTCTCAAATGTTAACCGTCTCTGTTTGGAATCATCCCTCAACCTAGAAAGGTATGCTCTGCCTTCTTCTTCCACCTCCGTCATACTGGACCAACATTTAACAGCATTTCCAAATGCTAATGCCTTTAGAGGTCAATGGGTGACACTCTATTTTTTCAATTATTATTCACATTGTCTGCTGCACATTTCAGCATTTTAAAGGGATACTCTTTCTGAGGAAAATGATCTTAATCTAACATTCTGGAATCACATAACAGACCGGAGAGTTTGTACAACCTGAAAAGTAAAAACATCATTTTTGCCAGTAATTCATCTGCAACGTTAACAAAATAAGCCATATCCCATGGCTGTATCAGAATGATTAATAACATAATGGATATTTCACTAATGTAGGTGTCTTGACATATGGTGCTTTAAAGCACAGGTGTTGTACATAGTGTGACCCTGGATGTAAATCCTTAAGACTGGCTTTTTTCAGAGCTCAAGATACCAGTATATTTGCATCTACAATGAAAGAAATGTTGTAAATATCCTTTGAAAGTTATTTTGGTAATATTGATTTTGATAAAACCCAACTAATCACCAGCTACAATAGTATTCAATATAAATGAAGCCTTTACTTGATGTTTGTTAAAGGGAGATAACTCAATACAACATGAATTGGAATTTAAATAGCCTATATTTTGGCAAATGAACCTTGTAAAATTTCCACATGTGGTCAGATCATCAATTTTAGTCACAATATACTGTGATTACTTGTTGTATAGCAGCTATGATCATCAACATACAAATTAGTTTCATTCTATAGAAACTTAATTAAAATTACAAGCTAATGACCATGCATCTTGATGTTTATTGAATTAAAAAAATGTGTGTGGTTAAGTATGCATGCAAATTGCTAGTGTAAGGTTATAATACTTTTTAGGTGCTAGGTCCTAGTCCTATTAACACTGCGGGATACATATAAATACTGGCATACATATCATTGATATTATGCATCTCTATATATATATATCAAAAAGAAATTCTGCAGGTAACAGTTTGTATAAGTACATTAAAATGCATTGGCTTTGTTTCATTGTTGAAGCAACTACTTAATGCTTTTGGTTTTAAATTCTACTGTACATCTTTTATCATACATTCAACATTTTATTATAATAACAATAATGCTTCTACAACTACATAATGTATATCACCAAGAATTTATAGACCGTTTGCTTCACAGCACATTACAAATGATTAACAGTTAACCTATAAATATAATCCGGTATGTAGCTTACTAATACTGGGAAAAGTAGTTATAGCCAATAAGTTTCTGGAGGAGTGGGGAGGGAGGGGGTCAATTAGTGAACTATACTTGGAAACTTCCAAATTATTTAAAAGCTTACTGGAATCTTTGAAATAATTTTTCAATGATCTTGGTTATATTGTGGACGGTCTTTTAGCAGAAGACTTGGATTGAAGTTTGATAGCATATATTTCGGCAAGGAAACCTTATACAATGTGGTTAGATAATTCAATTTGCTGAAGATGTATGGTTTCTTAAATCAACTGACGCGTAGTCGATACGGTCGTTAACATGCAAATTTGGATAATTATTTATTTTAAATATTTTATTCAATTTTGATTATTTATTTTAAATAATTACTAAATTTATATTTTTGAAGTTAAAAATTGCCTCTGCAGATATAAAAAGGTCCGTCGAAATGGTTAATAGTCTGTTTTTGGTAGCCACCGAAAGCGACAGGGACGCTGAACGAATGGTGCTATCGATTAATAGATGTAGAGTATCCAAACGCACTCATTTGTCATTATAGATCATTTGACATAATAATGTAGTCATAAGCTTACCATTGGCATTTTACACATTATTCTCACTAACAAGTTATCCTGGATACAATTTTGCTGTAACATAGGAAATGAATTACTGGGTACATCAGGGAGTTCCCCGGGTTTCATTATACCGTTTCCAATGGTGATTATAATTACAGCCCGGCACTGCCTAGACTGCCCGGTACTGCCTGGCAAAGTCAGGCACCGCTCGGTACTGACCTGGAACCATGTATTGAACTCTCGGGCTTTTATTTGTACCTGTGCCAAGTTAAGATTGTATTATATGCAAAAATATTAACAATATCAATATATTAGTCAAATTATGGTGCAAAATCATCAGAAATTGTTCGATTTATGGGTATTAGAAATCAGTATTGGCGTAACAATTCGCCGTAAATCTTGTTATTTGCAATGACGTGACCGCCTGGGCTGTTATTTCTCTTCAAATATGATAAATACGCCTGATTCAAAGGCATGTACATATAATTAATATCACAATCCAGAAATGATGAAAAATTTTACAAAATGACATAATTATTACCATTTGAAAACTTCGACATCGCAACAATGCGCCCGCATCTTGCTATTTGCAATACCAGGACCTCCCAGGTTTCTTTTTTTCTGTTCTCGTATTGTTACATATGCTTTATATATGTATATATGAATAAACTTAATATCTTGATCCAGAAATAATGAAAAAATATTTTAAAATGACAAAATTATTACCACTTGAAATCATCGATCTAGAAATAATGTAAATTTATTGAAAATTGACGACGGTATTGCTAGTTGATATTACCGATATCACAACTCTTATTTGAAATGCCTAGATTATTTATAGATTTGTGATATTCAATTTATTCCCATGAATGTAGATAACACACATTTAACGATACGTAAATAGGAATAAAGGCCCGGGCGGTGCTGGTCAGTACTGCAAATAACAGGATGCGAGCGCAGTGTTGCGATACTGCTGATTTCAAATAGCAGTAATTCGGTCAGTTGATTGATAATCATCATCATTTTTGGATTGTGATATTAATTTTATGTACATGGAGGTGAATAAGGCCGATTTAACGGTACGTGAAAAGAAATAAAAGCCCGGGCGGTGCCGAGTTCATTGTCGCGATACTGATGATATCAAATGGTTAATAATTCTGTCATTTTTAATATTTTTGCATTATTTGTAGATTATGATATTCATTTTATCCACACAAATGTGGATAATACATATTTAACAATATATTAATTGAAATAAAAGGCCGGTTGGTCCCATTATTGCAATAACAGGGTGCGAGCTCAGTCTTGTAATATCGAGGATTTTAAATAGCTATAAATCCGGACAATTTGGACAGTTCTTTTTTCCATATTTTGACTGAATTATTGGTCAATATATAGTTCCCGGGTAGTGCCGGACTTTGCCTACTGGTACCGGGCAATACCTGGCGAACTCATACAGTACCGGGCTGTAAATTGTATTAGTTGATTCAAAATCTAAAAATAGAAACGGCGAAAAATGTTTTGTTTTTATTTCATATTCGCCGCAATTATCAATAATTTAGGGCATTGTAGCAGAGGAAGAGCATATATATGCATTCATAAGTTAAAAAAGTTAAAGTAGCTTTATGAAAAAAATCTTTATTTAAGGTTGATTAATTTATATAGGTTGGTTTTATCCGTAAAATTAGAATGCCTATACTATTTCCGGGAAATTCCCGGAGGCATTCATTTTGTGGTAATTCGCTAAAACAAAAACAAACGAAGTGAATTTTTAAAGTTCATGCCTACTTTGACCGAAATGGCTCTCATTTTGGCGTTTGTTCACCAACATTGTAAATTATTATATGTGGATAATGAATAATAACAAGCTTCAAATATTATGGAAGTTCGGTGGTAGATTCTAGGCTACTAAATCAATTCAACCAGATAAATTAAAGCGGGACTCATTTAGTGATTATGCCATCAATGACTGTTAAATAAGGACTGATGAAGGATGTCGGACACAAGTAATCTTGATCCTGCTGCCCTTACTTCGAGGAAGGATGAGATTGCTCGCAGGGAGCTTCAACAAAAGCGACACTACTTTTTACAGAAGGAGCTTCAGAACATGGCCAGAGAGCTCCCTGGGTTTGTTTTCATAAATCATTCCATGGTCATGTCACAGATAACAGCCTTTCCCTCTAGTACATAACACACACTTCAAAACATTTAGATGGTAGTTACCTCGTAGAATATCATGCGGGTGGTTTGCCCCTCCACCAAAACCTCGAGGACACGACCACAACAGTCCAGATACAGACATGGTTATAATAGCTTGTGTGTTTTATCAATTTGTATTTTCGTTCCTATTTAGGAATCTAAATCTCACATATGTTGGCTGCATGTCAGTTTTGTATGTGTTATTTTGTATTGTGCCATGTCATGTATACATGTACATGTTGTGAAAAATATTATTGTATCTGGTTAGTTACTTGCTTATTGTTATTTAGGGTGTATCTATAGGACTGACCAATGACTGACCAATTCACCAAGACATGCGCATTTAACGGTCTCTTTTCTTGCATGTTTTTGCCCTTTTCTCAATCTGTCTTTCACATTTTCTTTGGGAGCTGATCATGCTGAAGGTCTACAGAATTGGAAAATTAGAATTTAAGATAGTAATGTTATCCCCAGTACCATATACAGGGGATTAAAAAAAATGAAGACAATAAACATTTGAAAATGTAACAGTGTAAAGTTCAATTGAATTTTTTTGTTGTTGTTGTTGCAGATGTTTAAAAGAACGTTATGTGTTTCTATATTAATTGATCCTGCATTTGATCATGAGTAACTTCAATATTACTGTATGTACATGTACACTACATACACATGTAGCTGTATGAAACACTTTCTTAATGTATAAAATCCACAAATATAGCAAGAGTTTAAACAGTTTTAACTAAAACAACACCACAGTTTGGCAATTTGCACAATGTATGTGACATTTAAATTTAGGTGACAACATGTGTTGCCTCATGTTCAGCCTTAGTTTTAACTTAATTGTCTGATGAGATGAGATAACTTAAAGATTTGATACAAACCTCATTTACCCTCTATGATAGATTATTGCAATGTTGCTTCAGAGAAATACAGGAAATGAAATTATTTCAGTTTTTTTCTATTCAGAAAGTACCAACAGCGGATGCCGTACAATCTCCTGTCAAGTTTAGCTAATGTCTTACTTGATGACACCATGTTTGAGATAGTTCGGAGTCTTCAGGAGGTGCAACAACTGGAAGAGCGACATCTGTCCAGTCAACGCATCAAACTTGTCAATGACCATAAAGGTATTCATGTAGCTATGTTTAGGAATTCACTTATATATATATACTGAATCATGTATACCAGTACCTTATTGTTGTATTGCTGCAATCAGTGATAAACTGTATGGAAGTAAATCATACCAATGGCTCCAAAATTATTTGCCATTATCTTTTTCTTTTCCTTTTTAAGAACATAAGAAATCAACATTTTTTAGGACATTGTAAATATTTGCTTGAGATATTGGCGCTGTTTTTATTTAAACCTGTTCATTTAATGCCAATCATCTCACAAATGCTTTATATCATAATCTAAATCTGTTGTCATAATCATAACTCATATTACCTCTTTCATATTGTCACTGGAATTGCCAAAGAAATTTCATTGATGTAAACTTTATTACTATATTACAGCACAGCGACATGACCTTCAGAAAAAGCACAAAGAGATGCTGCAGTCATGTCAGACAAAACCTCACAACCTTCCAATAGTGGAGAGTACCATTGAGAGGGAGAAAATTGTGAGTATAACATAGTTAAGTGTACAACCAGGCAGGTGTCCTCCTATAGCTATCCTAGTACACCACAACCTAAGTGTAAGGTCACTAGTACCTGTGTCAAATGTGATGAATTAATTAAATCACTAATGAACAGCTAGGATGCTTAGAAACATAATATTTAGTCAGAAATAATTAAATGACTGCTTAACAACCAGAATGCATGCTCAGAAACATGATTTCTGGTCAGAAATATTTTACTTACTACTGAACAGGTAGGTTGCTTAGAGACAGGATATTTAGTTAGCTGCATGTTCTGATAAAGGGCTTTCAAGATTAGTGACATAAATAACATTTGCCCTCTGTCAAGTTTTCAGTGGTTAAGGTGTTGTATTTTTATACAACATTTTAAAACAATTGATATCATTATAGATGGCTAGGTCTACACATTTTAAAGGAGATATAAGCATGAAAGTCACATGCATGTGGTGTTGTTATTCTATCATCAGAGATAGCTGAGTAGCTTTTAATCAATTGATGAGGTATCCTAGTACCTCATAGTAGAAAGTAAAAAATTCATTTGGATAACAATTTAATATCAGAATCAAATCTTCGGTAATTTACAAATATCTTCCCAGAGTTCATAGTAGCCATTTGGAAAAGATTTTGCAGAAAAATGTGCGTTTTCTTTATATATATACAAATTAAAACTTGATTAATGTTCTTTTAATCCTGTCCAGAATCACAGAACTCAGCCTGAGATAGACCTAATACTGCGGTATCAAATCAGGATTCATTACTTACAAAATTACAAACTAATATCAAAATAAAAATTAAGTACTTGAACGCTGTACTTTGAATATGTTTGTATTTGTAACAGACACTTGAACGGCGCTGTGAAGAAGAGTTGAAGAAGCGAGATATGAAGATCATTCTTGATCTGGACCAGAAGGTCATGGATCAGCAGGTGATGCTGGAGCGAGCTGGTGTTCCTGGATTCTTCGTCACCAATAAAAAACAAGATATCCAGCTTCAGATGTATCTGCTGGAGTTCATACAGAGACTCAGTCATATGGATATTCCCTCGTGACATTTGTCACGTGAACTAATACAGTCATAAAGATGTCACCTCAATCTTAATGGATAATTAGTTTGTAAAACATCACCCTAATCTTGATGGTGACTTTGTCATTCAATTCAAACATCAACAGGATCTTTATTACAAAGATCTGGTTATTTACAAGGTCATTCCGATTCTGTTATTCAGTGATTTAGTCAATTGACATTCACCGTCACTAGATACAACAGGAATCATATTTGGTCCATGCTATCATCTACTTCACTGTTTATGTAGACACCAAAGTAAAGCGTACTGAGAAGTGGCTGAATAGAATATTTTGGAGACATTCAGATGGATATACTGTGACTTTAGCCGAATGTGCAATAGCCAGATGTGAAATTGTCAGGGACCCAATATTTCATGAATTTGAATCTGAAAGTGATTGTTTACTCATTAAAGCACTGGTTAAGAAAATGAAATCCTTGTTTTCCTTTGGCATATGTCTTCCTGACTGTCATTTTGGAAAATATCTGATCTGAATTGAAGTAAATGAAAACATGTTTACATGTAAGATACATGTATATATCAACTTGTGGTTGTTACCTCCTGTGATATTTCCACGGTTACAAATGTCATTATCACGATTAACATTACACTTAGACTTTGTTTATTGTAAATGAACATCAAGGATACCCGTGTACTATATAAAGTGCCAAATACCAAGAACTGCGGCATCGTGGCTTCCTGTACAGAATTTAAATTTTGGATTGTGTACTCAAATGGAAATAATGGAACAGTATGATAGATATATATATAAATCATGTAATTGTTTCAGCAAAATTAGATGAAAATTATCAATTGAATGAAATTTCTAATTACAGTTAAACAGACTAAATGTCTATGTTTGTTAAAGAATGGACTTGTTAATTAATGAACAGATTTTCAGATATATCCCAGGGTCCTGCTCTAACTATTGAAATGATTTATAACATGGATATATTCTTGATCAATTTGATTTGGATTTAATTGAAATAGAAGTATCCACATAGATTGTTACCATAACAATATACAATAAAAAAATAGTGATATGATTAATTAATGGTCTCGGACTGATAATTGGTATGTTATTGCAATTGTTTAACATCTTAATTCAGTATAGTGCTTCATGGGTATTTCTTTATCTTAATGTATGCAAATTTCACATGCAGATTACAAGGTACGTTTTGTAAAAGGATAATGAGGAGGATTTTTAATATCACTTCAATGTTATATTATAATCTTATGTTGTCCATATGTTTGTTCTATAACATGTATACAAACATCATCAGAACGTTTGTATGTTGAATGTAAGGGATAAGATATAAATTGCCAGGATTAGGTACATGGTGATTTGTCTCAGTTGTACTACTCTGAAATGTATGCTGCATGTATTATGAAAAAAAAATGTGAAAGAGAAATGAAATCAAAATGTGATTGGAAAATGTCACTGTTCGTATTGTTTATTTATACAAGTAGATCACAATTACATGTATGAAAGGTGTATGGCAGATACAAGTAAATGGCTGTCATGATACTCATGGAAGTGTGTTAGTTGGATGTCATTAAAAATGTGTTTTCATTGCAATCTATGCAGTTTAAGATCCCACAATTTGCCAGTATTCATATATATGATTGAAAATTTGAATTCCTGCTATGCTTTGGTGTACGGATACTGACATTTACTGGTCAATAAATGTCATTTTGTTTTTTGCAATGATTTATAATCTACAGATAAATATATGAATATTTGTAATCCCAGGAGTACTCTCATTTGCAGGTTGATGACTGTGTTGTAATTGTCGAAAGGAGTTACATGTAAATAATATGTGATAGTGACCTGTCTGATTGGGGACAGGACAGTGACTAATATTAATTTGATTGGTTTTTAAGGCTTATATTCAACGTCAGAAATGAATGGTGATTAGGTTACATTGAGTTGGTTTGCTAGAACCCAAGTTATACAGCAAACAAAATGTTAATTGATAACACAATAGATAATGTGAACATGAACACCTCATTTTTCACCTATCCTTAGATGACTTAATCCCAAAGGTCGAACCTAGTAACCTTCATTTTTGGTCAGTTGACTTCTGTTTAATTCTGACCAACTGTGGCAATATTAGACCTTGTTCTTCTAGCGAAGTTATATCGTAACAAAATGTTCATCACTGTATATCAAATTTGACATTGACATTTAGACCTACTGTCCTACTTTTCACTTATGGTCAGTTGACTTGTCGATTTCCAACTACTGTCCTACTTTTCACTTATGGTCAGTTGACTTGTCGATTTCCAGCTACTGTCCTATTATTATGATGATCAGCGCAAAGATCACCCACGTTTACGACATATTTGCTCTATTGGTGACGACTTGTCAGTTGGTTATGTCTAATCTTGTATATCTCCCCACCCCATGGATTGGAAATCAAGGCAACGACAGAGTACTACTTCTACATCAGCCGAAGTATATACTATTTCTATGTAAAATATGAAGCTGGACATGTTTGATGCTCCATAGTATACCTGATGGTTCCGTTGTCGCATACATTGTTCCAATTTGGTAATGTGACACTACATATCTGCATGGTGTCGTCGATGACGCAGAAAACGCTTACTCTTCTGGAACACATAGTCTTATTTTCCTTGTACTCTTTCTCTTGAGTCTCCATGTAAATATTTCTTTTGTTCATATCTTTCCTTGGTTTTATCGCTTTGTGTATAAATTATGAGCCCGTTAACATTTCTTTCTTCTTAATATTTGTAAAACAAAAGAAATGGTATTTACATCTAAATCATAGTTTAATAATTTCAACCACAACTTGGAGATAAAAAATCTGCATAGAATGTTTTTGAACACTTAATACCAAGACGGAAAGAAGATCACAACACTGAACGTTAATATGATGAATTCCATACAGTTTATTGACCTGTGGTATATATGTATATATATATAAATTATATATTACTTATTACGAAAGTAAGTATGTAATATGGCACTTATTGAAAATATACATTTTATTCTTTTTTTCAGAAACAAAATTTCTACAAAAATCAATATACACATCAATACACTTAAACAGTTCTTGTCGCTACATAAAGACCAGAAACTTTTTTATTGTTATTTCTTGATAAAACTCTCCTTATTGTTCTATGGTTACATTGATTAACAATTTTAAAGTAAATATCAAACAAAATTTGTCATGTTATATTCAATTTTCATGGCTCGCATGAAAAAAAAAAAAAAAAAAAAGCGGGGATCTATACATTACTGAGAGATTCAAGGGGTTGGAGAAGTGACTCCATACATCTTAAACATAAGCCATTTCATTTCATTAAAATAATATGGTACAAATATTTCATCATAGTCATGACCCGCTGTTAACATATCTTGTTTCTGTGTCTATGAATCACTGGCCGTTTATTTATTCTAATACAATTTGAAAACAAGACGAAGATCCTCAAAACACTTGTAACCCGTGAGGTTAACTTTTCGACATAGCCTCCCTGCCGTGTGGAGTGGTAAAGTCAATATCTGGTCCAATGGATATAATCCTTGTCGGGTTTATCATCGCATGACTTCCCTGTAACAATAGAACATGTGGAAAATATCAAAGAAAATTGCTTAGATTTCCTCCTTTTTTCTCATGCCTTTGAATTCCGAACGAGTCATGGCATATATGAAAAAAAGCTGATTTACAAATTTAAAACTTATAACTTTTTTTTTTAGGGGGGGGGGGGGGGTAGGGGGATGAATAGTCAAAGAATGTAAGGTTAAAACTTTCACTAATTGACATGATAAGTGATGCTTTACTAATTGCTGTTTTTAAATAGCAGAGAACTGTGCCGGACCAGCATAACCGGTCGTATGGACGTATCCGTGGACTATTCCAAATGTTGTCCGAAATCAAACGTATGAAAAAAAAGAAGGAAATCGCTACGAGGATAAACACCACAGTCGTGATATTGACTATTTGTATCAAACTCGTCATTAGTGACTTGTGTTATATACCTTATATGGTAATTTCTGATGATTTACTAAAGGTAATAAAATCATCATTCTACCTCTAAACTGTATTTGTCCAGAAATACCCAATAACTTTTGACTTGATGTATTTGTAAGGACAGAAGGTGTAGTCGAACCTGGCAAAATATCATAGAAGTATATATTTTAGGTCGTTCTCTCTTTTTTTTTTTTTTCAAAAAAGGGACTTAAAGTTAAATCCGGAGTAGAGAGCTCTGTATTGAAAAAGGCATAGGAAAAGGGGTGGGGCGAAATAAGAGTAACGACTAGTTGTTTCTCTATTGGGTTTTTGCCCAATCAAGAACATCACTTGGTAAATGTGAATGTATTGATGAAACCTCTTGGAGTCGATAGATATGGCTAATTCCTGCATCAGGAGAAGTATGTATTAGAGTGTGCCTAATAGTACTATGTGCTAGGAATACTTGTCATTTATGTCTTTTATTGATAAACTATGGGTTACGTTGTGATGAAAGACTTACCATGTAGTGTTTAGTGATGTGTTCAAAGTTGACTGTGTCAGCAATTCCCCGAAATTGGTACAAGTCTCTCAGGTATCCCCATATATTAGGATAATCCACAATCCGCTTCTTGTTGCACTGATCAAAAGAAACTTGAATATCATCTCTGACGAAACCAACTACCGCATGCAATGCCTCAATAAGTATAAAGACTTAGACACAGCGGATGAACTGTGCTATTGTACTATAGATTATACTAAATATGTTTTCTTTTGTATTTAACATTAGTACTAGCCATTCTTGGCTGCTGTTTGTTAATATAAGATACTTAAAACTAACTTTACCTTGAAATGTCCAACGTAGACCTTATCAAATCGTACAAGTGTAGTAAACAGGCGAATATCCGCTTCTGTAAGCTCATTTCCGGTTAGGTAACGACTTTTAGACAAAATATCCTCTACCTTTAGTAACAGAAAATAAAAGTGTTTTTTCATAACAGTGATACAAGTAACATGTGCGATTATATAAACATTTGTGAATCTACTTGAAAATAAAATATGGACATCAATTTTTATTTTGATATCTGAGAATACGTTTGTATTTTATCGAACGATAATGTATCCGTGGAATGGAAACACATCGAGTAGGAAGTGAGCTAATTAATATATAAAGATACAAATCTCTTTGAGCAATATATAGTAGGGAGATGAATACAGTCCTCCCAAAGATTATTTTAGTGTAAATGTATGTACTTGGTAACTGATCTGTATGCGGTTGATTCTGTTATTAGAATGTCATAGCATTAGTGAATCATGTATACCCTGTCTAGACACTGGAACATAAAATTGTGTTCTACCTTTAGTAAAAGAAAGTAAACGATGAGTTCTCGGTAACAGGTATATGAACAATATGTGAACCAACAAAGCGGTGGTGTAGACATATCGTTAAAAGGATCGATACAGCTAATACTATTAGTAGTATAACACCGAGAAAAGTATATGATACAAAGACGCGGCCGGCAGATTGTGATCTATTTCATCTTGAAGAGCGATTTATGAACATTTGTGGATCAATTTGAAAACAAAATATGGACACATATTTTCTTTTGATATTTTGGGATTTTGTTGTTTTTATTGAATGATGTTGTTTCTGCGGAATTAAAACACCAAGAGTAGAAAGTGAGCTAATTAATATAAAGATAGGCATATCTTTGGTCAATATATAGTAGAAAATGAAGGGAGATGGACAAAGCCCTTCTAAAGAAAACCACTCACGCACGGCTTCGTAGGAGGGAATTGTATAAATCTGAATTACTGTGTTTTGTTATTTGTGAAACGGACAAGGTTGATAACCATATAATTGGTATTTTAGTGGTTTGGCTGACATACTTTAAGGTGGAAAATGTATTGCTTAAAGAGATAACTCAAATAGTTCAGTAATATCCTAAAAGTACGATTTGATTGGTTCGTTAAAGTGAACAGAATGAATATACTCTTGATTAAAAATTAAACAAGAAATGCAAACATATAACATTTGTCTACGATTTGAAGACTCCGGATTATCAATTGATATATGAGTC